AATGGACGACTTGCGCTTTAGACTAAATTTTAATCTAAGTAAGAACAACGAAATATATCACCACAGCTAGAAAGAGCGTCTTGGAATTAGTAACATTACAAAGTTTGGTTGCCGAATGTTGTAAAATACGGAAAATATAGCACTTCAAAGTTGGCAAATTTGTATACTTTTGTATTACGTGCGTGAATTGGTAACTAAATTAGTTACCAATTTCCGCACGTAATAGAAATGTATACAAATTTGCCAACTTCGCAGGGCTATATTTTCCGTATTTTACAACATTTTGCAACCAAACTTTGCAGTTTTTCTAATTTTCATAACTTCTTTCAGAAAATATCCTTTGTTATTCCCAGATTAAAAATTTTTCTAAAGCGTAAGTCGTCCATTAAGAATTTTAAAAAACTGAATATAGTCATAACCAAGTGGAAAAGTATTTCATTACTTTTGAGCGTGTGTTACATAACATACAAAGGATTCTCCTTTTAATATTAATATATATATATATATATATATATATATATATATATATATATATATATATATATATATATATATATATATATATATATATATATATATATATACAACTGTTCCTTGAAAACAAAAAATTATTATGTTTTACAGACATTATAAACCGCATTGACGAGTTACATCCACTAGCAACTTGTTCAGCTTTGTCAAAAAAACATCCTTCAGCACGCAGTGGAATCTATTACATAAAACCCCAACCACACAAATCATCATCGCTGCGAGTATACTGTGATATGTCCTCTAAGTATGGTGTTGGTGTGACAGTGATTGGGCACAACAGCGAATCAAGAACACGTGTGAAAGGATATGAACTTGCAGGTCTATACAAACGAAAGATCAAATATGACGTATCCATGGAACAGATCGTTGCCATTATGAAGCAGTCCAAGAATTGCGAACAGTATATAAGATATGAATGTCATGCTAGTATGTTGTTCAGTGATGATCATGGTTGGTGGGTATCACGTCAAGGTTGGAAGATGAATTACTGGGGAGGAGCGGCAGTCAACAGTGGAAAATGTGCATGTGGAATGACCAACAGCTGTGCAGGTGGAGGAAAATGTAATTGTGACAAGAATGACCTGAGATGGCGTGAAGACAGTGGATATCTGACTGACAAGAACACACTGCCTGTTACTGAGCTGAGATTTGGAGATACCGGTGATGGAAATGAGTTCGCATGGCACACACTGGGAAAATTGCGATGTTGGGGTTAGGAATAATACATGAACTGAAACGTTATCACTTAGTAAAACATATGTAAGTAATATAGAACACGTCTTTGGTAAAAGTACACAATCAAAAATAGTTTAACACAAACGTAGAACTTAATATATGACATACAAATGTAGGACATAACCACCTACAGTAGGACATATATATTCATAGTTAGTACTATGCTTAATAATCAATGTGCAGTTTCTTATAGCTTTATAGTTTATATAACCTTAAAAATAGGAAATCTGTTTCATGTCTAAGTAGAATGAAAGAAAAATATTGGACTAGAATCTAAATTGGAAAGAATAAAAGTGGATAAGCAGAATTATTATTATTGTTTTAAGTCGTTCCTTTATTTGGGGTTGCAAAAAATGGTAGCCTAGCTTATAGTACAGTATTAGGAAATTAATGCCCCCTCCATAGCCATTAAGCCAGGAATGTTTATACAGTGAGTTTCCCTTATTTGGTATTCCAGAAAAAGTTATGCCGAAACAAATTGACAGACATGCACTTGAATGCTTCACACACATGCAAAATAGGTGATTTACTCACTCATTTATTTACTAAGGAAACTAGCAGTGATTAACTGATCAGAGAATGCACATTTATACGAGGGTGGGTTGACTATAAAATTTTTGTAGTTCGCTATAACTACAGCTACTTCAAAAATATGTAGTCAGCTATAACTACTGCTACTTTTGAACAAAGGTAGTTCGCTTCTGACAACAGCTACTGCTTAAAAAATGTAGCCAACTATTTCGCTACGCTATATTTTTTAGTTTTACTGTATTTGGAGGATCTACTAACTCAGGCTGAAATGCAACTTATAACAAATCGACTTACGAGTAGCAACAGTAAACACAAAGCAACATTTTTGAAAGCACTACAGTATTCAAGAGTGCAAATTGACTGTTGAGTATTGACTTTAAGCAAACCGTGTCTCAATATCATGCCATTCTATCAAGTTGCTAACAATTTTAAAAAGTAGCGAATAGCAATTCGCTGTATGGAAAGTAGTCAACTACTTGGCTACTTTTAGGCAAAATGTAGTTCGCTATAACTACAGCTACTGTTTTAAAAAAGTATCAAAAACTACTGGTTACTTGAAAATTGTAGTTTGCTACAGTAGCGAACTACAACTACTTCGCTACTACCCACCCTTGCATTTCTAATACCATATATAAGTAGTTACACAAAGATAGCCTCTGGTTATTTATGGTCTGGTACTGTGGTTAATATAACTAGGAAGTCCTGGTATATTAACAAGACGTCTATAGTAAGATAAAGGTTAAAATAACCAGGAAGATTCAGCAGAGATATTAAGTTAACCCAAAGCGTTATTTCTGGCTTAACCCGGAGCAGTGTCTTCTTTCAAAACTGAGAAGAAACTTGGCGGGGAGGATTGTGTGGGCCGAAACCTCAAAATGTTTTCATCTGGGACATACAATGGCTTTCAGATTACTATATACATGTCTATAAAATGCATGAAATAGCATTTCCCAGACCCAGACCCTAGAAATAGAAAAATCTAGGCAATTAGACCATGTCCCTCCCACTCGCTTGGGGGGGGGGGCTATATGGCTGAGCATGACATCAATAATTATAGATTCCAACAATGGCTTTGTTAAACATTGAAATTTAAAAAAAATACAGACAGGACACCAAGCCCTTTGGAGTCGGGGTTGTACGATGGCCGGATTTGCTAACTGACCCCCCCCCCTCCCCATGGAAACCATGGAAATTCAGGCAAATGCTAGCAAAAATCAAGAAAATTCGGGCAGATTTATCAGAAAATATGTTAAATTCTGCACAATGGCCTTTCATTACAAACTTTCAACTATAAAACTACGGATGTGGATTCTATAATTAATAAAAGGCAACTTGAATTTTGTATAATAAAGTTTAATAATACGAGTCATATCACGTACTCAACGGAGAATTTAGGAAAGCTTGAAAAACGAGAAATTCATTATCCAGTGCCCAGTGGCAGTGGATACTAGATAGCTGGGAAAGGCAAAAATATATAAATACCTGCCGAAGATAGCTTTGATTTGTTTCGTGATCCTCTTTGGCGTTGTCACAGACTTTTTCTGACAAGAATTTGAAGTGATGAATCTTATCAATTCCTCTTTAAAATTTGTTTGAAGAAGCGAATCTACCACGCGCCATTTTGTTTTGACTTCTAAAATTTCGCGCGCTTTTTTACAAGCTGCCGACCGCGCTGGGGGCTTGAGCTCTACAAACTTTACGGAGTGGTAAACATGACTTTTAACAATAATTTGTTATTATTATTATAAATAATTTATAACTATTATCATAAAGACTATTATGAAGATTATTGACAGATTATAAGATTATTGCTCAAAAATAATTCGGAAAATTTATATTGGAGATTGGACTGAGTACGTATACGCTTCACGCGTGCAACACTCGCACGGGCAAAGCGACCGCAAAGCCAGGCAAACTAACCTTCATGGCACAGTCGACGTAATTTCGGCCAAATAAATTTATATTACTTAAGAAAAAAAAGATTCTGATATTCAGTTAGTTATTAGCCATAATTGCGCCTTCATAACTTACTCAAAAGTAACGCAATTCTTCAACGCAGCATTCTTAGCTTCCTGTTGGAAAAAATAATAGAAGAAATACGTCGTTCATTTTCTGCCATGTTGTTACCGCTTTATAGTTGGCACGTTTGATATCAAACGAAAGCTCAGGACGTCGTCTTGTTGTATATTTTATTCATTTATCTGCGTGTTGAATACATTTTCTACAATATGCGCGTAAACTTATGTGAATATACGAGTCGGCAGACGTATGGCAGGCTAGCTATTAAGATGACATTTAATACCCCCGATTTTGGCATTGAACGGATATGGCGGAATCAGTTTGGCCTCTGCTGACCCGGCGTGCACTAAGACTGAACACAATAGGTACATTTACGTCTCAAGGTCAAAGAGCTGAAGGAAGAAGATAAGACAGAACTTGCTTCGAGACGAAATGTACAACATGATGTCTGCGAAGATTCTGCTGAAAATCCTGATTTTGTCAACCTGGCTGAGCTTGGCTTTTGGTTTATCACAAAGCGACAAGGTAGTTGATACTAATATTATGATACAATTGGTAAAATTTCTTATATTTTTCAAAATTTAACAGTCCGGTAGGTGAGAACCTACTGTAGGTTCTCTCTCACTGCGCATGTATATTATTACGATTGTGAATTGTATGCATGGCACGCGATTTCTATAGCAAATATATATATATTATTTCTTAATATGTGATCGCATGCATCTTGCAATTCTTTATGTTACTTTGGTTATACGCAAACGATTTTGTTATGTATAGTTTTATTTATATCGTCAGCTGAAAGCGAGAACTTCCTGTGGGATCGATCAACTTCCAAACATACGACTACTCACACAATCTTGTACCCAGAGCAATGCTTGTGCGCGGGTTTGGATGGCATTGGCTCTGGGGAAATTGACAACCGGAACCCCTAAATTTAGGGGTTCCGGTTCTTTGTCGGCATGCACGATTGATAAACGTTAAACCAAT